TGCCTCCCTGCAGGGGGCGCGGCAGCGGCAGACGCAGGCGGAGGCGAGTGGGCGCGTGCGCAGGGAAGGTGGCGGATGGAGGGCGCGGCCACGGAGCTGGGTTGTCGTTCATGTATGTATGCTTATGAGATCGACGCGTGCCGAGGCCTCACCCAGGGAGGCTCTCAAGTTGCGGCAAACCGCGAGTGAATAGCTGCCGGAAATCCCGCAAGCAAGCCATTGCGTAGAAGCGTACTAAAAAGGAGGAGTAAAAAGTCAAAGATTATACACATGCATACACACGCACAGGTTCGGGGTTTTGAGCTTGTTTGTGCGTCGCGCCACACTTGCCAGCCCTCGCTCCCGCTGCACAGCCTCCTCTGATCCTCGGCAGCTCCCACCAGGTGCTGACCAGGGCAGCTCCCCACCTTGGGGCAACGCGATGGCTTACCCTCAAGTGTTCTGTGTGGAGTAGGATCCAGATGTTGTACGGACAATGTAGCTTTTCTATCGTCGCGGCAGTGCAGGGAGTAGATAGAGCATAGATCCTAGCAGCGCCCTGCCACCCAACAGCTGGCACTGGCCGGTTACGCGCCGACAGTTGCTGTCCTTTAAAGCCCTCTTGCATCTTGCTGGTAATGCAGGCACCCATTTGATTGATGCCTGCTTCACCATATGAGAGGTGCATGCGCATGCATGGCGAGCAGTAGTGGTGTTACAACTTATGTTATTGGCTGACCCACCGTTGCCCAGTGTTGTGGCAGCTGCTTTGCAGTTTGCGACTTTGCTTGTGCAACAATTGCATATGCATTGCACCAGGAGACGCGCCCAACATGGTTCCAAAGCCAGCGTCGAAGCTGCAAGGCATGCATGCCCCAACGTGCCCCGGCCCCAGGGTAAGGGCAAACAGGCACATCGCTCTGCCTGCAGGCAGATGGCAAGCTCCGACTCTTTGGCAGCACAAAAGCAGTCTGAATGCAGGAAGTTTTTGTGAAGCAAACCCGGCACAGCATTCACTTGCGCTCCTACACACCCCACGCACACCTCAACGCTCCTGCCCCTCTACCCTTGACAAGCCCCCACCACCCTCGACACTCCGCCTACCCCACGCCGCCTGCTATCACTGCGCCATTTCAAACCAGATGTCGGTCAGGCGCTCGAGGGCCAGGCGCACGTCGCTCACCGCCGCACGGCGCGCCGCCACCGCCGCCCCCGCAGGCTCCCGCACCCTGCCCGGGCCCGCCATCGCCCCCAGCAGCCGCTCAAACGCCGCGCAGCCGTCGCCGATGGCGGCCTTGGCTGCCTCGCGCCCCTGCAGGGCCGGCCCCACCGCCACCGCCCCCGCCGCCCCGGCCGCCGCACCTGCGCCGCCCTCGGCCGCGCCCTCCGCAGGCCCCTGCGCCACCTGCGATCCATGGTGGTTGCGTTGGCAGCAGGCTCTCACGAGTGTGCAGGTCCGCACCTGCCATTGGCAACGACGCTGCGCTTTGACCTTGCGCAGGTGTGCAGTACCCGCCACCGCTAACCGTGCACTGGCAGCACCCCACGCAACCCAGGCAATCCACACCCACTCCTCTCAAAGAGGAGGGAGATTTGCCCCGCCGTTTGCAACGCACCGCGGGACGCACAAACATCTGCGTGGCCCGCTCCCTCAGAGGCCGGTCCTGCGCCCGCATCGCGGTGGCGACCAGCGTCTGCTCAAAAAAGCGCGTGCAGCGCGCGACGGCTGGCTGCAGGATCCGCACGGCGCGCGGCGTGCCCGGCTGCGCGCCGCCACCGCCCCCGCCGCCGCCGCCGCCGCGCCGCCGCCGCCGCCAGCAGTGCCGCTGGCGCCGGGCTCCGGCTCCTCGCCCAGCAGGCCGGCCTTGAAGCTGGGGTCCCCCAGCAGTCCGTCGGCGACGACCCTGCTGACGCGCTCCAGCACGTCGTTGCGCACAGCCGGGGTGCAGTACCTGATCGCATGCTGCACCGCCGGGCTGGCGGGTTTGCCCGCCGCCGCCGCCTCGATGCTCTCAACAGCCCGGTGCACGGCGGCGCCGGCCACCAGCTGCGTCACTGACGGCGTCGCCACTGCCCCCGCCACACCGCTGCCGCCGCCGCTGCCCACCTCGCCCTCGTCGGCCTGTCAGAAGATATAAACGCAATTGTGAGCGGATGCGTGCGGCAGACTTAAGATCGAGCGGAAGGCCCCAGACACTGGCTGTGCGCCATGCATGCTGCATGCCGCCTGGGCGCGCGAGCGCGCACCATCAGGCAGGACAGAGTTCTTGCGTCCACCTCCCGTCAGTCGCAGCACAGAGCACCTCCCCCCTTCCCAATAACAGAAGTGCGCACCGTTGCGGGCTGCAGGAGCCGGCTCGCCTTCTCCTCCGCCGGGGGGTTCTGCACCTCCACAGACACGAGCACCATGGCATCGCCGAGAGACTTGCTGATCCTCTGCACAATGGGCCCCACCAGGCGCTCAGCGC